ACGAGGACACTCGTGACAAAGCCTGCATTTTTCCTAAGTTTGGTAATTTTCGGAGAAACTTTTGAGGAGTTTGAGCCCCCGCTGCTGCCAGCCAGCTCCCACGGGTGCCCCAAGGCTGCTCGTGGCGCAGCTCCATCCCTCCCCAGGGTCAGCTGGGGTTATTGTCATGCCGTGATATTTTAAGTTTTGCAGAAAAAAAAAAATCTCCTCTCGGATCCCCTGTGAAAGCAAACTGAAGCAGGGATCTGTGAGCCATGGTAGCCAGCTGATGATGGCTAAAACAGCTCAGTTTGCTCTTAAAGCAGAGTGATAGGGATGAACCAGGCAGTTTGACTTAGAGTCATAGAGTCATAGAGTTGTCCAGGCCGGAAGGGACCTCCAAAGGTCATCTAGTCCGACCTCCCCGCAGTCAGCAGGGACATCTCCAAATAGACCAGGTTGCCCAAGGCCTCGTCGAGCCTCTCCTTGAATATCTCCAGGGAAGGGGCCTCAACCACCTCCCTGGGCAACCTGTTCCAGTGCTCCACCACCCTCACAGTGAAGAACCCTCTCCTAATCTCCAGTCTAAATCTGTTCCCCTCCAGCTTGAAGCCATTGCCCCTCGTCCTGTCACTGCAGGCCTTTCTAAACAGGTTCTCCCCAGCCTTCCTGAAGGTCCCTTCAGGTACTGGAAGGCTGCTATTAGGTCTCCCCGGAGCCTCCTCTTCTCCAGGCTGAACAACCCCAGCTCCCTCAGCCTGTCCTCGTAGCAGAGGTGCTCCATCCCCCTGATCATCCTTGTGGCCCTCCTCTGGACCCTCTCCATCAGGTCCATGTCCTTCTTATATTGAGGGCACACAATACTTGTGCTGCACGCAAGACTTCTTTTGTCTTTCTTTCTTAGGCACTATCTTCTCTTTGCTGGTCTCCCCTAATAAAATCACCATGAAGACCCCATGGCTGGCGTGAGGATTTGCATCCCGAAAGGACGTTGTCCTGCACCAACCCTTTCCCAACAGCAAAGTGTTTTATGGGTAAATAAACCACAGAAATACACCCCAGCATCTGCTCAGGAGATGGAGGTGGGTTTCACCACCTGGATCTGGTGTTGATATGCCAGATGATGGGAAAGGCATTTGCCTCCAAGCTACAGCTTTGCCCTCAGGTGGTTTTTGTTGTCTGCAGGACAAAAATAAATAGATTTACATGGGTCATTCTGGCAGTAGGATTGACTTCTGAGGAGGACCCACGTATATACCCCATTCCTTAAAATGCAGCACGTCTTTAGGGTTGTTTTGATTGCTTTTCACCTTTGCAGCTATAGGGATGATCTGTCTCAAGCCTGGCTGCCCAGGAAAGCAGTTTGTTAAGCATTAAAGTCTCTCCTTGCCTTTCAGTCTTCTCTTGTGCCCCAGTCCCTTGAGATCTTTGGGATCCACTGCCACCCAATTCAGCCATGGGCTGAGGTTCAACGCCAACCATGAGAAGGCAGACCCACGGTGGAGGTGGGTAACTGCACTTGTCACCCTTCTGTGCCAGGCTACCACAGTAGCTGCAGACACTGAAGAGCCCAGGCAAGAGTTGGTACTGACCAACAACCCCTCAGGGTCCTACAGGACCTCCTGGCATGTGGGTCAGCCCTTTCCCAATATCCCCAAGTCATCTCATTGCAGTTAACAGCCAGGAAGGGCTGAACACCCCATTTCCAACCATCCAGAACATTCACAACCCACGGGGACAGCCTGAGATAATGGCAATGGATAAAAACTACACGCTCACATCTTTGCCCTCCATCACACATACTCTCCTCTCAACACCAGAAAAACTTCAGTGAGAGAGGACCACCACCCCACCACAAGGGACAGGACGGTTGCAGAGGTGGAACAACCATCACCTGTGTGGATGCAGCTAAACAGACCTTACCCCATTCCAACATATGGTCTTCATATAGTTTAATTCACTTTGGAGATGCACTGAAATAAGTTAAAAACCTCATCATCTCTGAGAGAGGGGGCTTTGGGAGAGCTTAATTAATCTACTTTGACATCACACCTTCCCCTAACCTACTTTCCCTTCCCCTAGTACCTGAATCACAGGTGGCCCGTGATTTTGGCAATAGCAGGGCTTCAGTTTTGGCCTGAAGACCTGAAACTCCTGGAGGTGATCAGGGAGACCAGGTCCTTGCATCAGAGGGCTGCACCAGGCCTTGATTTTTAGGGCACCAGTTTTGCCTGACCTTTGGGGCCCAGGGATGCCAAGCCCATGCTCCGTGCCAGAAGCAATAACCTTTCCACATCTTTCATATTCCTTGGCTGATCTCCTCTGAGCAGGTGACAACTGAGTCCAAAAGGTCACTGGAGATATTTTCAATGTTTGTCCCAGCCCTTTTAAAGTGCTTCACAACCCCAATGGGATTCAATGCCAAAGCAGGGATGGTGTCATCCACCTGCATTAAGGAAAGAGAGGAATCCATTTTCTAAGTGCCCAACACCTTTCATAAAGTACCCCTTGGCCAGATCAGCACCCAGAGGCTCCATCCCACATGTATTTCCATGCTCAACCCCCTTCTTCCATCCCCAGACCAACAAAATCAAGGAGGTGAGTCCCTAACCCTCTCTGAAGCATGTAGGGCTATCAGTGGTCGGAGCTAAACAGGGTCCAAAAGGTCTTCTGAGTTTTCTGCAAAGACTACAGTTAAAATCTGCAGCCCACGAGGAGCAAAAGAATGGAAAACACATCTCTCCAAGAAGGCACAATGGGAAAGAAATGCCGGCAAAGCCCTCACTGTCAACCATTCATCCATGGGTTGAGTCAAACCTGGATGGAGCTTAGCGCCACCAAAGGAATTCCATACATTTTCAAAAGCTTTAGATACCTTCTGCCAAGCTTCAGGCTTCTCCCTGTGATGTCACTTTTTCCACCAACACTAATTAAGCTGCCAGGTACTGGTGCTGACTTAAACCTTTCTTACCCTGTGGAGGTCAAGGAAAGGTGGGACACGATCCAAGCTGGGGGAAGCCGAAGGTTGCTGAGAATCAAACCTTTCTTACCCTGTGGAGGTCAAGGAAGGTGGGACATGATCCAAGCTGGGGGAAGCCAAAGGTTGCTGAGAACAAGCACTTGTGCATCTGCAACGAGCACAGGGGGAAATCATCTTTAATGGAGCTCCACTGGGGGGGATGGGTTGGAAATAGCTCTCATCTATTACTGCTTTCTTATTGCAGAGCATGAGTTCAGGGGTTTCATCAGCTCCAGGGACCATGCAGCCCTTGGAGAAAGCTGGTTCCTCTGCAACAGGTGAGCCCATGAGTGTTTGCCAGAGGGAGAGGAGCGAGAACTGAGGGCCAGGTGGTGATTTTCCTCACTCTTGCTGGGAAGAAGTCCCTCTAACTCAGCCAGCTCTTTGGGTTGAAGTCTGCAAGTGGGTTTGCTTGCCCAAAATTATGACCAAAAGCTCCAAAGATCTGCGTAACCAAACTGCCTTCCAGGTCTCGGTGAAGGAGGGGTAAAGAAAATACCAGTCCAGGAGATGAAAGAGGAGTGAATTGCTGGAGCGGTGGAATCCCATGTGTCTCAGCCAACAGCTGGAGGTGATTAAGGGGAAAACAGAGGACTGAAGCCAAAGGAGAACTCTCAGCATCACTGGTCACTGCCTCTCAGACAACAGACAGCATCTTCAGGGGCTGGGTGAGAAGTTCAAAGATGCTTATCCAAGAATATGCAGCCATGGCTCCTTTTCTCCAAAGGAGCCACTGTGACCATCACTGGTGTGTTCCAAGAGCAAGAACATCTCCCCATCCTAACTCAGAGCCCACCCAGGGTCACTGCTGGCTGCTGTTACCTTTTGGTGGGAGGCTCAGAGGGTTTTTCCCACCTTTGGTAGGATTTGTCCCTTCCCAGGGATAACTGCACCCCACCAACCCTTTGATAGAAGAAGGTGATGGTGACATTTCAAAGCAGGTTTCAGAGAGGAGCTCTGAGAAGCAGGCAGGGCTGAGAGGGTCCTGGGGCCACCAGAAGCCTCCAGCCCAGCTGCAAATCTGTGGTGGCCGTTGGAGGGACCCTCCACCAGAGACCTGACTCCTTTGGGTGTCTCAGCCTAGGACCACACGGATCAACCCACCAGAAGCCTCCAGCCCAGCTGCAAATCTGCAGTGACCATTGGAGGGACCCTCCACCAGAGACCTGACTCCTTTGGGTGTCTCAGCCTAGGACCACACGGATCAACCCCTGTTTCCAGCAGGGAGATCTCCATCCCCATCCTCTTTGTAGCACAAAGCACTTTTGCTTGCAAACTAGCACCATGGGGCATTGCAGGAGACCTATCTCTGACCACACTGAGACCAGAGTGGCCCTGGGGCCCCAGATTGGAGGATTTTCCAGCCTGGCTGCTGTCTTGGGACAATCTGACTTAATTCCGTTGGTGCCTTTGGGGAATTTGAACATTTTTTTTTCAAGATGCACACCATCCTTACCCCCCTCCTCTTCAAATGCTGCACCTGAGACCGTGCTAACCCCATCCTGAAAGAAGATCCCCCAAATTTCAATCTTCCAGAGGTTTCCCTGCCTGCCTGGGAGGAGAAACCCCCCCAGTGATGGGAAACCAGGCAGAGGGCAGAGCAGTGTGAGTGGGACAAGCCCGTACCCGCTGTGGGTGGGGGTTATGAGCCCTGTCCTGGGGCAAAACCCTGCCGAGATGTTGCTGCACCAGCCCCCTCTTCGAACAGAAACACATTAATTGGGATAACACTGTTAATCAATGCAGAAATCCCCAACGGGCATCCTCAGGAGGCATAAAAACCTTTTTGCATTTAAAATAACCCTTGCACTGGGTACCTGGCTACTTTTAGGAGCAGGGGAAAAACATGCCTGAGTGATTCTGAGAAGTCCCAGCATTGGTGACAACCCAGTTTTTGGGTGACTCTCACCAGGCTGTTGAGTTTGGATATCTCTTTTTTTTTTTATTTCCCCCCCCCCTTTTTTTTTTCCCCTCTGAATGGGGAGAGGCACCGCAGCCCCGTGACGTTGCCAGCTCCCTCTGATTTCATTTTAATGAAATCATGCCCAAACGAAGGCTCCACGTCTGGAGTTACGACTCAAACCCCGTGATCGCTCATTTTTATATATACACGAGGGAGGGGAAAAAGCGTTTCCATAGAGAGAAAAAAAACTATCACAGCCCTCTTAATAACAATAAAAGAAAAGAGAGGGTGCAGAAGTTCAGGGGGAACGCGCCTGATGCCTCTCTCCTCGGAGTGAGACCACAGCAACCCCTTCCCACCCCGACCGCCGCCGACTACCCAGGTGAGTGCCTGGATTTCATTTATTAACCAGCAACCGGCTTCATTTGCACAAACTTTAAATATTTCAGTGCTTTCCTTAGGAGATCAGATCCCACGTTTCTCTGCAAGAAAGGAGAAAGGCAGGAGAGGGAAAAGCAGTTCAAGATACTGTGTTAAAAGGCTCCCCCCACAAAGAAATATTGGGGGTTTTATTATTATAACAATTTTTGGAGGCAGATCAGGCTGGGCAGCACGGGTAGGGTTTGGAAATCTTGGGAAAAATCGAAAAGTGGGGAGACAAATAACTGCTGTCGTTACAGGGATGGGGAGGAGAGGAGGGCGCAGCCCCGTCCCCACAGGGGTAGCTTGAATTTTTGGAGCCCTGGGAATCAGCATCGTCGGGAAAGATTCATTGGGAAAGTGGAGGCGGCATCAGACAGAAAGAGTTTTAAAAAGTCTAGAGGTCTCATCCACAGCGTTATTTAGTTCCAGACTTACTTTTTGACGGGGGAAAATATTAGCTTAATCCAGTGCCTCTGCTGCCGAGCAGCCCGAGATATCCTTTGCTTTGTCCCCAGTTTGCTGGAGCTGCCTTGCCGGCACGATTTACTTTTCTCCGTTAAAGCCGAGAGGCAGATCTTCAGCTGATCCAGACGGTCCTGCCCTGGCTGTCACCAGCATCTCGATATAATGCCTGTAAAATTTGTCACGGGCATCCTGGTAATTTCCACCCTCAGCGAACAGACACCCGCAGGTCACCCTCCGGCAGTAGCAGATTTAACTCCGACTTCCTCAGATCCACCCCAGGTGGTTTTTCTTCTTTTCCTGTTTATTTTTTTAGAGGGGGGTGGGAGCAAAACCCAATTCCAGCTTGATTTCTGCTCCAAAAAAAAAAACCAAATCACAACACTTTTTAGCATGCCATGGCACAAAAACCCCATGCAAAAAAAAAACCCCAAAACCCCAAAATATCAGCTCATGTTGTCCGACGGCGCAGACGGACACTGCATTTTTTTTTTTTTTGCTGCTGCTTTGCCTTGATTTTGACTTTTTTTGCCAGGATATCCACCCCGCAGCCGAGGACCAGCAAAGGAGGTGCTGGGTGTGGATGTTTCAGCCCCGTTTCCCCCTCGCTCTGCCTTTCCCCTCGCTCGGCCGAGCTCCCCAAAGAGTTTTGCTGAGCAGAAAAAGCTGTTTCAGGCAGCGGTGAAATAGCTGTTGGGGAGAGGAGACGTGGAGATGCTGCTCCAGGAGCTCCGGAGAGGGCAGCGGCAGCTCAAAGCAGCTCAGTTTGCTGCCAGCAGCCCTGGCAAGGGCTTTTGGAGACCTTCTCATTCTCCATCCAGCAGCTCGGGGCCAAAGAGGGTCCCCCAGGAGAGCGGGGGCTGCAGGCAAGGGCAAGAAATTCAGTCATTTCTAAATTCATGCCCCATCCTGCTAACAGGGGCTGCAAGGGTTTTGCAGGGGTTTTTTTTGGGGGGGTGGGGGGGTGCTTCTTCTGGGGCTGAAAGGCAGCTGTAAAGGGTGAGGCATTGGGGTGGAAGAAAGATGTTTGTCCTGTTAAGCTTTTGTAAGGAAAAAAAAAAACAGTTCCAGGCTTTAAAAGCCAAAATTCCAGGCTTTAAATGTCTGATTTGGGACTGAAGGAAGGCGAGGTTTGGGATTTCCCCCCTCCATGGGGGTTGTGTGCCTCGGAAGGGTTCTCCTGCCCCAGTCCTGCAGGACAACTTTGCCAACACTGCTTGGGTCGTGTGGTGGCCGCTGCAGGTCCTTCTGGACATGGGGCAGAGTTAAGGGGATTTTTTTTGCCTGGGGGAGCTCTGTGGAGTGAGGCAAGGACATGGAAATCGAGGAGCTCCCTCAAATCCTGCCAGTACAACCTGCCCCCATCTCCCTTTCCAAGGGACAGCCGAGGGAGGCGTTAAGATGAGGGCAGTTTCAGGGACAATGGCAGAAGAACAGGTCCAGAGTGACAGCTCCTGGGGACATGGGGAGTTGATGTGATGTTGGATGGGTCTGAGGACATTTCCCCACCCAGCAGCCCCCCACGCAGCGAGGCATAGCCCCATCCCTAGTGGTAGCCCAAAGACACAGATGTCCATGGAGACTCTCAGGAGCCACCCTGTTCCACAATAGCTACCCAAGGACTTCCCCAGCCTCCTTGGCCCCTCCACACTCCTATCACCATGGGAAATAATCCAGCAACTCACAGCCCCAGACCAGTTCCAGGCATGGTCCCACACCCCTGGGGACTGTCCCCTGGCCAGGGCTTGCCGTGAGATGTGCTTGCCACAAGATGGGGCCCGAAGATTGGGAATGCCAGCACATCTCCCAGAGCTCAGAAAGCCCTTGTGCCCTCAGGGCTGGCCCTGGGAACACTTGTCTGCCCTCGACATGAGCAAAGACCCCCACTGGTACATCTCCTGTGGGCTTTTAGGTGGCATTTTTGGGCTGTCAGGTGGGTATACAGGGAGATGTGTAGCTTCCCGAAGAGACAGGACTCAGAGATGGAGAAGTTCACAGAGCAGGAGGGTTATCCTGGCCTCAAGTTGCGCCAGGGGAGGTTTAGATTGGATATTAGGAAACATTTCTTCATGGAAAGGGTTATCCAGCATTGGAATAGGCTGCCCAGAGAAGTGATTGAGGCACCATCCCTGGAGGTGTTCAAAAGACGGGTTGACATGGTCCTCAGGAATATGGTTTAGTAATTTTTTTATTGCTTATTTCTTATTTATTTTTTGTCAGGGTTAGGTTGATGGTTGGACTAGATGATCTTTAAGGTCCCTTCCAACCTAGACGATTCTATGATTCTATGATTCCAGGTCAGCAGTTGGTGGTAGAGCTGGTTACCCTGTGGAGGTGCTAGCAAGGTGGAGAGGGCTGCATGAGACCTGCAACGAGGTTGCCCCAGGCAGGGGGCATGGTAGAAACCAGCTCTCCTGCAGCAGGCACTTGTGTTTCGGCAAAGGAGTGGCCAAATACTCCCCTCCATGGAGGCTGCAGCCTTGCAAAGCACCTTAGACATCCCATCTCCCACCCAGCACCCCAAAACCAAGGGCTGGGGTGTCGCACCTTAGAGGAGGAGGCCCCAAGGCAACTCATTCCCATCTGCCCTAACCATTAGATGGGACCTGGGAGGTGAGCCCAGGAGCACGGGATGTGGGAGGATGCGGGGATGATGGTGCTCTGTCCCGGGCCCCGCGGGAAGCTCATGCCCATCTCTGCCCTCCCCTCACTCTCTCCACTGCACAGGCCACCGCAATGCCCAACACCAGGCTGCTGCTCCTCCTCACCCTCCTCTGCGCCGCCAAGACCGGCCAGGCTCTCCGCCTCTACAACGCTGCCTCCATCTTCAGCTGCCTCAACGCGGCCCTCGCCGAAGCCAGGAAGAGCCTCCCAGAGGAAAACGCCGTCTTGGACAAGCGTGGCTTCGACTCCCCATCGCCAGAGGAGGTGTCTGAGGAGGAGGAGGGGGAGGATGTGGTGGATGAAGAGATGGGGAAAAGGACGTTCCCGGGGGAAGGCCATTACAAATATGTCTCCCAGGCGCAGGTGAAGGGGAAGACCTACCAAAACCGGGCCAAGAGCGACCGCCGCACCAAGGTCACCCTCTCCCTCGACGTCCCCACCAACATCATGAACATCCTCTTCAACATCGCCAAAGCCAAGAACTTGCGGGCGAAGGCCGCTGCCAACGCGCATCTCATGGCCCAAATCGGGCGGCGGAAGTGACCCCCCGTGGGGCAGGGGGGACTCGGAGCAGGGCTGGCTGCGCAGGGCCACCACCCGCCCCCAGCCTGCCAGCCAGAGGGGACTGATGACCGTGTATGATATCAGTGTTGTATATTTTTGACCCATAGAGCTACCTAACTTTCATATCTCTTCTCCATCCTTCTCTCCTTCCCAATCTCCTCCGTTCCTCCTCCTGGAAATTTCCACACGCGGGGAAATGTCCGCAGCAGGGCAAGGGGACGTGCCGCCTCGGGAAGGTCCCTATTAAAGCTACAATCTCTTGAGTTTCTAATGGTTTGTTCTCCCATCACCTCCACAGAGGGTTCAGACAGGTTTGTCTGGGCCTGTAGCCTTTCCAAAACATCCCTTCAGCTCAACCTCATGGCCCTGTCCCCACCACGGTTCAGACCCTACTCCACCCCCATCCACAAGCTGTTCCTACACACAATCATCACTGCATTGGGAAGGGAAAAGCAAGACTGGTCAGGGGACTCCAGGGATCTCCCAATTTCTCCTCCTGGGGACAATTTAGGTTTTAAGGTTGTCTTGCAACCACCACTTTCCCCACCAGCACCTTCAGCAGTCGCAGCCGGGACAACATCAGGACCGTCCCTGTTCACCTCACTCTTTTCCACCTTCCAATGAGCCCCAGCTCACCAAGCTCCCATCCCTTCACCTTGGACTATTTACCCCTTCCTCTAAATCTCCCTTTTTCTTCACCTCCCAGCCCAGCTCCAACCGGAAACTCCATCTCTTGGCCTCCATTCCTGCATGTAGCAGGTGTAGGAAGTTGAGAGAAATTTGTCTCCTCCTTCCCCAGGAGATGTTTTCCAAGAGCAGCAAAGCACCTCTCACCAGCCCTGCGCAGGGCATAGCCTTGGGGAACACTCCAGGTGGGGCATTAAGATGGGCCACAGGTCTCCAGGTGAATGGTTGGCAAGTAGACCCACCAGCCATCTGCAGAGCCATATCTGCTGGTATCTCCTTTATACTCCACTGGGTACCCAGAGGAGGCTGAATTCAGCCCTGGAAAGCCCATGGTTGGGTGTCCCAAGACTCCTAGCTGACCCAAACTCAGGACCCAAATTCAACTGAAGCCTGAAAAGCAAAACCAAAACAATACACCAGGCCCTTCAGTATCTTCCCCTCACGGCACACATCTCCAGCAGGCAAGACACCACATGCCCAGAGCATTTCTGGGCAATCATCCCCTCCTGCCTCAGCTCTAAGGGTGTACAAGTGACATCTTTCCTTGTTAAAACCTGCAGTAACCTTGGACTACATGGCTCCATATAGTTTCACACATTTTTATGGGCCCACCAGCCTATACATCCAACCCCTGTTGTATACTGAGCTCTTCTGCAGCAGGATGTAGGCATTACCCCCATTTAACACCCAGGGAAACTGAGGCACACATACACCCTCACATCTGGTCAGGCAAAGCAGGGCAGAGCAAGGTCACCCCACTGGATCCACCCTCATCCCTTTGTGGGTTTGGCCAGAGGTGGGTGCCCCAACGTTGTCCAGGCTCAGCCTTTCTGATGCACAGGGCTGTCTAGAGGACCTTTGGGATAGCAAGGAGCAACAGAAGGATCTGCTCAGACAGAAATCATTGCTTTGAGTAGAAAGTTGAAAAGATTTTCCCCCTGATTTTCCCAGTAAGGGCCAGTAAAGCACTGGTCTAGGCTAAGAACAGGCTTTTCCTCACCATCACCCGCCGTGAGGATCAGCACCAGCCCTGCTTGGGTCCTTTTCCAGCACCAAGTTAGACAAGGGGAATATCTCAGCCCTGTGCTAGTGCTCGGAAATGAAAACATAGAAACGTGGAATCGCAGAATGGTTTGGGTTGGAAGGAACCTTAAAGATCATCCAGTTCCACCACCCTCTGCCCTGGGCAGGGACACCTCCCGCTAGACCAGGTTGCTCAAAGATTGCACACCACATGCTCGAGGCTCTCACTGGGTCTTTCTTCTGCTCCCCTTTAACGAAGGCAATTAACACTGAAGCGAGACCGTGGGAGCAGATGAGCCGAGGTGTTTTCTGGCACCAGGCCGTGCTTGCACGTGCAAAGCTGAGATGGGGACAGCAGATACCAGCTGACAGCGAGTGATGGGGAAAGCAGAGATCCTCCTTCCCCAGCTGTATCCCTGCGGGGGAGTCTCACCCACAGCCAGCACTGCCTTGGACAAACCCTTCCAAAATTAATCCTCCTTCTCAACCTCTGCCAAGTGAGACTGGGGATTGCTTGGGGGGGGGGCTGAGACACAGGCGGAGGTTGGAGGAGCCAGATTTCCTGAGGAAGCTGGATGGAAATAGGAGCACTGAAATCTCCATCAGCCCCTGCCCGGGTCTGGGAGCATGCAGAGCCAAGGCTGACGTGCTTGGGAATGACAGCGTTGCTGTTTGGGGTGAAATGTGCAGGTTTGTAAAAGCCAGGTCAGGATTCGGTCTTTCCCGCCATTTCACGCAGGGATGATGGAACCCAAACTCTCGGTATCGCACTCAAAAAGAGTGGTTTGTTCAGGCATGGTTGTATAGCCTCTGCATGCTCACTCTGGCCAACACATCCTTCTCCTTCCACCACTGTGTCCCTTCCAGTCTCTTCATAAGCCTTCCCCAAACAGTCAGCTCTTCCTTGGCCTCCAGAAATCCCCTTGTCATTCTTCTCCTCCTCCACATGCCCACGCTCAAAGGTCTCCTTCACCCACATCAGAGCAAACCACAGATGCTGCAATGGTTTAGGCAACCTCCAGGGTTGAATCCCATCTTGGGATCAAGGAGGCCCCATGCCCTTCTGGTGAGGAAAGGATTCAGGCAGCGTAACTCAATGGGCATTGAGCATCTGGCCAAAAATGCCTTCTTGCTGTGTGAAAATTCACATATTGGGATCTTGGCTAGATAAACCAAGCTGATTTCCAGCAGCAGCCATGGGCAGAGTTAGCCCATGCTCCTCAGGACAGAGAGCACCAAGAACATGGTGGCCTTGCAGAGAGTTACACCAGGAGCTGAGCCCTACGTAGGAGGGTAAGATGCACTTCAGGCTGCAGATACACCTAGAAGGAGCCATCCGTGGTGGCATGAGAGCCTTCTCCTGGGGTATCCAGCCCTGGCAGTGGTTTGTTCAGGCATGGTTGTCCAGCCTCTGCATGCTCACTCTGGCCAACACATCCTTCTCCTTCCACCACTGTGTCCCTTCCAGTCTCTTCATAAGCCTTCCCCAAACAGTCAGCTCTTCCTTGGCCTCCAGAAATCCCCTTGTCATTCTTCTCCTCCTCCACATGCCCACGCTCAAAGGTCTCCTTCACCCACATCAGAGCAAACCACAGATGCTGCAATGGTTTAGGCAACCTCCAGGGTTGAATCCCATCTTGGGATCAAGGAGGCCCCATGCCCTTCTGGTGAGGAAAGGATTCAGGCAGCGTAACTCAATGGGCATTGAGCATCTGGCCAAAAATGCCTTCTTGCTGTGTGAAAATTCACATATTGGGATCTTGGCTAGATAAACCAAGCTGATTTCCAGCAGCAGCCATGAGCAGAGTTAGCCCATGCTCCTCAGGACAGAGAGCACCAAGAACATGGTGGCCTTGCAGAGAGTTACACCAGGAGCTGAGCCCTACGTAGGAGGGTAAGATGCACTTCAGGCTGCAGATACACCTAGAAGGAGCCATCCGTGGTGGCATGAGCAGCCCTGGTCCTAGGTTGTCCTAACATGCTCCTGTCCTGTTCTGAGCTGGGCCAGGTGAGGCTGTGTTCACACAGAGGCAGCCTCCATGTCTTAAGTCTAGATCAGATTCTAAAACTTGTGTTTCTGGCCTCTGGGACATCCCATGTCAGCGAGTTTCCTGCATTCATGTGTGCTGCATGGAAAATAAAACCATTGTCCATTTGCAGTGTGATGGTCTCATTGGCGTCTCTAAGTCCTGGCATTATGCCATGTGCTGTCACCTCTCTCCACAGCTGCCCCAAGTCCTCCAGAACATCCATCAGCCCCACATCACATAACAGCCTCAGCATCTCTGATGAATTTTTGCCACCTAACAGCTCTTATCCCAATTTTATGGAAGGGTCAGTGAGGAACAGAGAAGTCCCCTCTCCCACCAGTGTCCCAGCAGCACACAGGTCCTGGGCTCCTGTCTGGCTGTGGGACCCAGCTCTATGGGGCAGGCTGGGGAGAGCTCTGGTCTCTGCACGGTCTGTGGCCTGGGGCCAGGGAGGGGGATTCTGCAAAATTTGGGCATGGCCAGGGTATCTTGGTGGCTTTTGAGAAGCCAGCACTGCCCTGGAGCCTTCAGAGCCTGGCTTTCTCATGGCATCAGGGCTGGAGAAGCCATCCCAGTCCCGTGACATTACCCCAAGGCAGGAGCCCCCTCCTGCAACTCCTGTTCATCCCCAGGAGATTCAACAGATGTGCTATTTGCACTTGGAAAAGGGAGATGGAAAGTAGAAAGCACATTTCCAGTCCTGAAGAGTGAAAAGAAAGTCTTAAAAATGAGTCTCGTTTTCAAAGAAATAAAACCAGATACTCTTTCCCCCCCCAAAAAAAAAAACCATTCAAAGCTCTTTTCCTGATTTCACAAAAAGTGCTCCTAGACATCACAGGGAAAACAACGCTGCATAAGTACTTAAAAGCCAAAGAAACTCCAAATTCCATGGGTCTGCAGGTGCAAGTCATTGAAAGCACCTGGATGACCCCACGTGGCTGCCCCTCCTGGAGCAGAAACACCTGAAGCCTTTGCCAGCAGGTGCCTGGAGGAGGGACCTCTTCAGCAGCAACCCCAGCTCTACTTACTATAAAAGGCCCATGAGGGAGACAGGTATGGTGTGCCCTTGGTGAGGTGGTTGTGTTGAGGAGCCCAGGTGGTTCAGAGGCATGGTGAGTAGCTGTGGGGCTTGGGTTTGCTGCTGGAGAGCCATGGCTGGTCTTTCCTGGCTCTGCTGGAGGATGGAGTTGGAGGAGCTTTTCTTTTGAGCTAGAGGAAGGTGTCTTGCCCTTGGCTGTGGGTTTTTTTGGGATGAAAGTGGTTGTGGGCCCCGGGGTGGTGGGTGGCTATGGCTGTCCTGGAAATGTTTGTGTCAGAAGAAAAATGCAGTGGTGGTTGAGGGATGATACATTAGATCTCAACCCTCAGGGCAGGACCCTCTGCTCTCACGTAGGCTGTTGCTGCTTGGTCTCTGTGCTTGGTAGGGGTCCTGCTGTGCCAGGCTTCTTGCAAGAAGATAACTTGAGAGTTGCTGTGCTGAGTCTCCAGCAGCCCAACGTCCTGCCTAGGCCATGACTAAAAAA